ACCACCATCATCATCATCATTATCATCACCACCATCATCCTCATCATTATCATCACCACCATCATCATCATCATTATCATCACCACCATCATCCTCATCATTATCATCACCACCATCATCATCATCATTATCATCACCACCATCATCCTCATCATTATCATCACCACCATCATCATCATCGTCGTCGTCGTCGTTATCATCATCATCACCTTGATTTACTTACTAACTTAAGAAGATTGTGAGGATGTTATTGTTGTTGTTGTTAGTTGTTGTAGTTAGTTGTTGTTATTGTTGTTGTTAGTTGCAATCAACAACATTTCCAAGAATTAAAAGTCATCGTTTAAACGAACCGTGATGAAGTTGTTGTTGATTGTTGTTAGGTGAATGGGACGATGAAGACGACGACAATGATGATGATGAAGATAACGATGTTGAGGATGATGATGACGACGACGATGACGTGATAATGATTATCATCAAATGACAAATTCGTTTGACGATTCGACAAAAGCAGACGCATGCAATCATGAAACAGTTGAACTGTTAACGTAATTTTATTTAATTTGTCTACTTCTTTTTGCGGATTCTGATGTAAAAATGATCAACTGTGTAAGCAAATACAAGTGATGAAATAACTTTACAAGTAAGGCTTCATTTAGAATGAACAAAATATCTCATATTCACTCTGACTGCATCAAATCTCTTAACCTACCGGCGGGTCAGCATTTGCCTGACTGCCTAATAATCAAACAAACAAAATAGTAAAACTGCATTAATGATGAACATGACGAAAATGATTAAAACGCTGATGATGATGATGATGATAATGATGATGATGATGACAGAAATGGCCGTGACGACAACGATGGTAATGATGATGACACGATGGTATCATCATGGTATCATCATGGTATCATCACTCATCAACTGCGTCCTTACGTATCGATGATATCTTCATGATATATATATATATATATATATATATATATATATATATATATATATATATATCAGTTGTTTTCATATTCGCAGGAAATGTTTAACTCATTAGAAATTGTTTCAAGTCTCAAACATTCAAGAAATTTACTACATTCAGCAGAATTGATGAACATTCTTCCGGTAAATAAATAAAAATTGATAACAAATTCAAATAATTTTTGATCAAAGTCAACTCATTCATTCATTCAAATGAAGCGATTGAATTTGAATTTCTTCTCTTTAAAAATTTAAATCTCAGTTTAAATTCAATCTCTGCTGAGCAGTTGTTTTAACGCAGCACGGTGATTTATTGAAGTGCGTGTTACGTTATGACGTGTTTTAATAGCTGCCAAGATGGATCAACGACTTTAAATTCTTTGAAGTGGTAGGAAATTATGTAATGTATGAATTTAATTTCTCGGGGGATAAAAAATGATGATTAATAATAATAACAATAATAATAATAATAATAATAATAATAATTATTATTATTATTACTATTATTATTATTATTATAACAATAACAATTATAATAATAATAATGAACACCTACAGATAAAAATTAAAGTTAGAGCTGATCATGCAAATATAGCTGGCTTGATTCGCTGAACGCCTTCATTCATTGAGCTCCTATTGATTCCATTCAAATAGTGAAATTGTTTGTCTACCGTTTGGGATAAGTTAAAGAAGGGGAGAAATTTTTCTTCAAAATTTGCACAACTTTTGTTAGCTCAGTGAATACATTGAAAGATATTTGAATAAATGTTAGTGTTAGTCGCTGGTTGTGGTTTGGTGGCTCTGTAGGCTCCGTTAATGTTTGCCGATGGGATGAAATAACTATCATATGTCTGTGTTGGTGTGATTGTGGGTCAGTTTGTTGTGAAGCTTTTGTAGTAACTTCAATGCAGATTTTGTCACTCAACTTTTTTAAACATTATTTCAAACCATTAATCGAAGCAACTCAATATTATAAATGACACGTAGTTATTAATAAGTTGAAATGCAACTAGAAATAGTCATGTGCTATCTCGAAAATTCACTCTGCCAAATTTCAGAACCGCGAAAATCGCTTAAAAATTTTATCAAATTTACAAAAAAACAAAACTGAAAAAAGATTTTAGAATTCATATCGTAAGAAATTAAATGTAGCACACAGACCTGATCACGATTATCCTCGTCGTCGCAATCATCTTTGTCCTTGCTACGTTGTTGTTTGTGGTTGTTGTGTTGTTGCTGTTGTTTGTGTAGTTGTTGATTGTTGTGAGGTTGTTGCTGCTGCTGCTGTTGCTGTTTGAGTTGATGGTGTTGCAGAAACTGTTGTTGGTAGTGAAGTTGTTGTTGGTAATTCAGGTGTGGCATGTAAGGAGGGTAGTAGCAGTGTTGTTGTTGGTGCTGTTGTTGCTGCTGCTGCTGAAACTGGTGTTGGTGGTGGTTGTGGAAATTGTAGTACAAATCGTTAGATGGGTAAAAGTTTTGTCTCTGTTGGTAATGTTTTTGTTGTTGCGTGGCACGATTGTCGTTGTGCAAGTCGAACGGAGTTGATGTTGTTGTGGTTGTTGTCGGATGGTTGCCTCTAGAAGATGCCATCTCTCGAATTAGTTTCAACCAAAAAATAACCAACAACTAAATGTATCTATCTCAGAGTTATCTTATATCAGGACAATTACATTTAACATTCTTTTAGTTGAAAATCTCTAGTTCGTGAAAAAAAAACAGAGTAATGTAAAAAACTTCAAATAGATGTCAAGTTTCGGAAGAAAAAACTTCTATACAATTATACTTGTAATAATTGGGTTAGGTGTGTATTTACAGTTAAATGTATTAAGTAAGGTAGTCTCAAATAGCAGAATTGAGTTTTGTTATGAAGTCTCGTGAACGAAGTGAAAACGACGAGAAAAAAATATAAATGCTAGCGTTCAATCAGTTGCTGAGGTCAGTAACAGTCGTATTGTGAATGCTGTTGTTAATGTAGTTTGTTTGTTCGTTTGTTCGTTCGTTCGTTCGTTCGTCCGTTCTTTTGTTCGTTTGTTTGTTTGTTAGCGTTGTGATATGTTACTGTGTTACAAATGTATGGATATACGTTTTATTGTTATTTTTAATCCTGTCTGATGTGCTGTTAAAAATGATTTATAAAGAATCTAGTGCTGCCGGCAAGCAGTCAGACAATTAACTCATTTGTCTGTAAGTCGTTGTTGATAATTCGCAATGTCGTTGCTTGTTGTCGATGCTAGTGTTGTTGTTGTTGTTGATGTTGGTGGTGGTGGTTTGTTGTCTGTTGATCGCTTGTGGATCGGTTGTTGTCGACTTTGATTTCTGCAAATATGTTAATAAAATGTTACATTAGTGAAGAAATAACACGAGTGAGTAGATCGTTTATTATGCAAATTTGAACGTTGATGACGACGATGATGTGATGATGACGACGATGATGAAGTGATAGAAATGTTCATTTTGTTAACAAAGGATCATCATCTTGAAGATATCCTTTGTTAATTCTTGACCGTATCTTACACCACTGATAACAACAACTATTACATGATGTTGATGTTGATGTGATGATGGTGGTAGTCTTAATGATACTGGTGATGATGGTGTGATGATGTTGATGATGATGTTGGTAATGATTTTGATGATGATGTTGGTGATGATTTTGATGATGATGATGATGATGGTCATAATGATTATGGTAATGACTTCATCAATCAGCCGCCATTTTGTAAACCAGTATAAAACCCCACCACCACCACAACCACCACCACAACCACCACCACAACCACCACCAGCCGCTTGACTACACCACCACACCAGCTTAACTACAAATTCGAATGAATGGATGGACCACACTAGAAGACCTCGCCAACGAACGTCACTGACGCTCTCAAATTAGCAGCAATTAATTAATGTAAACATCTTTGCCGAAAAAATGTTAATAACAATATTGTTTTTATTTTTTAATAATAATAATAATAATATAATTATTATTATTATCATTATTATTGTTATTAGTAAATTATTAGTATTATTTTTATTTTCAATAATGAAATTAAAAACCAAATAATAATAAGTTAAACAGCCACGCAAACCGCCATTAACATGCCAAACATTCAACGGAATATAATGTGAGTAAATTAACGATGTGAAAAATTTATAAATACAATTACATACAAGCATGCTCAAATTATGTTTGTTTAACTATGCTTATTTTCATAATTGTATATTTTTTAGAAACGCGCACACACACACGCACTCACACACACACGCACACACACACAAACACACACTAACACAAACACACACTAACACAAACGCACAACGTACAGCACACAAACATACACACACACAAACATACAACACACACAACGTACACAACCCAATCATACACACACATATACACACATATCTATCAATACAGACACACATGAACACACACACACACACACACATACATGTCTACATACACACACGTACACACGCATTTTATGACACTCAACGTCTCCTCATTCTTCTTATGCACTTCATTGTCATCAATTAACATTTGACGTAATGACCTACGATCCAGCCAGCAATAACATACAATGTACACATATTTGCGTACACACATTCACAGAACAAACATTTCTGTGTAGATATTCACTTACAAACACCCACACACAAACATACACATACAAACATACACATACAAACATACACATACAAACATACACATACAAACATACACATACAAACATACACATACAAACATACACATACAAACATACACATACAAACGTACACATACAAACTTTCACATACAAACATTTCATCAAAAAAAACTTTTCATGCAATCATTTAAAGACAATAATTTTAGCAAATTTTTTTAGACTTTGATTTTGAAGCCTCAAAATTTTAAAATATTTTTATTTAAATCAATTATTCAATTTTAATTTATTTAGTTTTTTTTATTTTTTACAACTATCGTGAATTATTAGAGAAACAAAAATTTAATTCAATGCAATCACTTTCACTGATGTCAACTTTTTATACGAATTAATAATAAAATTCTGCTCCGTATCACGCGTCCGAACATCTGGCTCCTCATCCAACCAACGAAACAACTTTTGAATTCACCGAAATTAATCAATTTCGCAAATTACCATTTAAATTTGAGTGGCGCCTTGAAAAAAATAATGCTAGCGATTCGACATTTAATTTGGTATTAAAACGACGGTAAAAAATAATCAAAGAATAAAAATTGCAAAAAGATCATCAATTAGAGTTTTCAATAGGGCGTATGAGTTGCAAGTTTCTATTGTTATTATTATTATTAATAATATTATTAATATTAATAATAATATTATTATTATTATAATAATTATTATTATTATATAGTTCAACAACTATATTACGATTGACAACCAACTCCCAGATTCGAGCGATATCAAACCGACACTCAATGCGACAAAGCTTCGACAAAGGAATGCAGAATTTGCACGACTGACCTCACTCCGTTGTCATGGTACAATAGTCAAAGCAATCAGCAATAAGATTCCCGCGGTCACGTTACGTTATGAGCCTTCCAGAGGTTCTGTTCAGATTTGTCCGGATAGGTTTAATTGAACAGCTGCCAGCAAATGCCAACGTGACCTGCCCAGATGGGGCTATTCCTCCACTGCCCAGTGCCATGAGACCAACTTCTTCAACTCTGAAGATTACAAACTATCTAAATACTCGAATAGCTTGGAAAATAACTTAAAGGACGACTTAAAACATTTAAAAATAATAATAAACACATTTGAAATATCTACTTTAGGTCTCTTTAAAACATTTAATCTTTCGCTAATAAATATTATTTGGACTGATTATTTTTGCAATAACCTTGTAAACTCTGCCATATCATCGTCTTACGCCATCTATTGCGACAGAAATGTGAAATTAATCAATTTTAAAACAATTAACTCTGGTCGTACTCCCTCGATTCGAATGATGAGCTTCTCAGATTAATTAATACTCTATTTATTGCATTTGACACTTTATTTTATTTTATTATTTTATTTGTACTGTCATTTCCATTGTTTTTATTGCTGAATAAAAAATTGTTCCCATTGTTACTAATATTATTATTAGAGA